GCTAATTTGAAATCATTGTAAACACGATTCTGAAGTAGTTGAACTTCTTCAGCTGCTCCACGCCTTCCCCGTTAATCTTAAGAGAGCAACGGGCAGGGAAACGAGAAAACACAAGGGAGCACTCGGCTGCGAACCCTTCCAGGGAACACTGCATATCGGCATCAGAAGATGCCAATTAGACAATGTCGTCTTCAAACAGCAACGTTCTCGTGTCCACATCTCCTACATAGATACACTCATCCCCTTGGCTGCCCCTGACTATTCTGTCCATGTACTACATAAATAGGAGAGGGGATAGGACATGGCCTTGGCGGAGACCAGTGCCAACTTTGGAAAGCTTCGATTTACCATCATTTTCTCTGACGCAGCACTTGCTACCAGAATACAGTCATTGGATGGCCCATAGCAGCTGGTGTTCCTGGGCAAGACCACAGACTGCTTTGTGGGATTCAGTCATAGGCTTTTTCTAGGTCAACAAAGCAAATGCACAGCGGGCAAGCGAACAGCCATGATTTTTCAACAATCTGATGCTGGGAAAATATATGGTGAGATGTGCTTCTAAGGGCCGCACCGCTGTTCTTGTATCTTGGGGTCAATTGTTCTACGGTATTTCCTTTCTGCCACCGATGCGTACACTTTACCTGGGAGGACCAATAATTGAAGCATTCCTTGTGGTCTACCTTCCTGAATACTGGAACAATAACTATCGTTCTCCAGTCAGCTGGTGTCTTTTCCGCAGTCATCGCCGTTTGACAGACAAGTGTTAGCGAGCACATGCCTTGTTCGCCTAATGCCTTGAGAATCTCATGGCGGATTTCATCAATTCAAGAGCATTTCCACTTTTTTAAGCTCTTCTCACGTTGTGTAATTTCAGCTGCAGAAATATCAATATCCGTTCCAGTTTTGATGCGATTACTCAGGGTTAAGAAGTTCCTCAAAGTAGTCTCTCTATCGCCGAAGAAAGTCCTTTTTCTCCGTATGAGGGTGGCAAAACCTGTTTGCATAAAATCGTAACAACTTCATGTCGTTATTGTTGAAGTCGTTAGGACCGTTTTTTCCAATTTCGACTTTCCATGTTTCAGAGTCTGCTCCAACATGCGCATCAAAATCGCCCATGAGTATGAGGGACTCCGTATTCGCCACTTCGGACAGTAAATTGCGCTTAACGAAGATCTCATATTCTCCCTTCAAATTAGACGCATAGAACTGTACCAAGGTCAACGCTTTAGCCTGATGTAGCCACCCTTCCGCTGACTAGTTTGCATTCAATGACTGTATCAGTGTGGTTGGGTTCTACCGGAATACCGACACCGGCCTGAGCCCCAGTCGTGATATCGGCGCCTGAGTAGAATAACTTCCATCCGCTGAGGTTCAGGAGTCCAGAGCCTGGGTGCTTCGTTGACGAGAGTGTCGAGTTAGCACCTTCTGACCTCATCAACTAATTCATGTTCTTTACCTCTTAGTGAGGATATGTTCCAATTTCCGACTTTAAGCTCCCACTGGTGGTGTCGTTTTCGTGGAGCCT